TCCTCATCCTCGTCCTGGAGGACCCACCACAGAACGTAGGCTCCGAGCACGGTAGACCAACTGTTAGGGGAGAGCTGAGTTGGGGCGAGGTTGACCGCGCTAAGGAACCTCTGTATGAAAGGGTGAAGTGGAAGCCTAACCCCCCTACTGAACATCTGGGGATAGAAGCTGACGAAGCCCGGAGGAGGGTCGTCAAGAGACTCTCCGATGCGGGGCACCCTGAGCTCTATGGAGTTGGGGATTAGGTAGGTTTTGCGGAGCTCGGCTAACCTACCTACCGAGCAAGTCGATGGGGGAAGCTTAACTACTGGACCGAGGTTAGGGTTTCCCGAGGTGGAGGCTATATTGGGGTTTCTCGATCTATCCTCGACATAGGGGTTCCCTGAGGTAGAAGCTAAGGTCGGATCCCCTAAAACGTCACCTGAACTAGAGGAACCGGACGACCCAGATGACGACTCACTAGACGAGCTACTCATCGTCAGATCTAAAGAAAGAATCTAGAGAACTACCTAAAGAAAGAAGAAGAGAGTACCTGACTTGGAAACGGCCAAGGTACACGAAAACTCAAAAGTGAAAAGTAAAAAGTGAAAAGTGAAAGACTTTCGCCTTTTATAGGACAGCCCGGAAGCACAAGGGCCGTCCGATCGAGGAAGGATCAACGGACAGGATTTGTCCACGCCAGGTGATCCCCATGACGACGTTTGGGTTCTCGAAGCAGAAGCTAGGGCTGACGCATCCATGACGTCACACATGAATGCGTGGATTCGATGCATCTTCAGATTAGCTCGGACTACTTCGCCGAGCCGACCTCCGCCCCGCCGAAGTGGGGGCGAATGTTGGATGCGAATTAGGACCTGCCACGTGTCACGGTAAGAGAGGTAAGCCGATTTGACGTGCGGATGGAATTAGAAATTTTCCTCAGGATTGTTCAGGTTAGCGGTTACGGACCGAGCTAAGAGGATGAGCTGACCTGAACGAAGTCCGTAAACGTGTCTCTTCCGAACCCGACAACACGCCGTATTTTTAGGGTTTGTCAAAGTTCCTGTCGGGCCCAGTTTCTATAAATAGAAACCTTAACCTTAAATGCAAGGTACGCAATTCTAGAAAGACTCGGCAAGTTAGCTCGGACCAGAACTGACTTGCTCGTCGGAGTGCTAACTTTGTTTTGCAGGTCTCGAGAGTGTTCGGAGAGGGTGCTGGGCAGTTGGCTGTAGTTCGTTCTAACCGTTCCGATCTACTTCGTACCCGAGCTCACCAAATTTGACCTCAAACATATATCCTTCCATTTTTTACTCAGTCCTCAATTTTAATATAGTCAATTAGTATAGTTTTCTTCTATTTTTTACTCTATCTTAAATTTTAATACAGTTGACTAATTTAGTTAGCCAATTAAAAAATATAAGCTTATTACTACATATATTTACTTAAAAATCAAACTTATTACTAAGTAAAAGTAAAAATGTTAATATGGTGGCGATAGGAATGGTTTGTGAGCTTTTCTTATGATAAAAATTAAATTGAGAGTTCTAAAATTATGTAAACTAAGTCTAATAATTTTTAAAATAATAAGGACTAAAAAGAAGTTATTTCCAAAACAGAGATACAAAATTTTCCTTTTAACTTTCCATCAATAAAATCAGAATCGAAGTACTGTATTAACAAATTATTATTATTGTTTTCTTATGTGCGAACATCCAAATAAAAGGTAACTAATTTGTAAAGAAACTTACCAAAAGCATCTCAAAAGTTTCAAGCATAAGCTCGCGGCGAGAAAAGGTTTGGCCACAGCACGGCCAACACGGTGCCCCAATGAACGGCGGTGGGAGGTGGTGCCGCTGGTGGGGGAGGACGATAACCGCCGTCTGCGGTGGTTGAAGTCGTCGGAGGCGGTGGCCGGCGGACTAGCCCGCAAGAGAAAAAGGGGCGTGGAGTTTTTGTCTTCCTGTTTCAGTGGCATGATGAGAGATTTATGGTACCAAATTTTGAGGTGTAACAGTTTTATTTTATTTGGGTTTGATTTATTTGCCTGTTTGGCAGAGGGGAAAGGGGAGGAAAATTGGGAGAGAAAAAAGATGAAATTAAGACGAAGAGAAGAGAAGAGAAGAGAAAAGAGATTGTTATGATCACAATAAAGTTAAAGAAAATTGGAGAGATGAGATAATTATTTGTTTGCTTTGCTTATTAAACATTCTTATCTAATCTTCGTATTTCCGTCTTAAACACAACCACAGCCCACAACTATTTCATTCTTAATTGTTAAAAATGATAAAACTTAAGTACTACTTTTTATAGTTTTGAAAATGAGAGTTGCCAAAATTAGGATGAATTGAAAAGTAAATAAAATGGGCGTTCCTCAAGTTCCGCGCTCTGACGTCTGGAGGACGTTGAAGCGAACGCAAGTCGAATCGATCCATTTATACACAATTACATTATTACTGCGTCCGGCGTTTTCTTATTTTATTTTGGAATAATTTAATTTTGAAAGAAAATTATTTATTTTTTCAATGAATTGAGTTGAATGTTATTATTATTTTTTAAATGGACAGTTGAGTTTTTTTTTTCTCTCTATTAAATACAACAATACATTTTTAAATAATTGTTTTCTTTCTCAAGTTTAAATTTAAAATTAATTTGGTCGAATGGGATTGCATTGTTTTTAATGAGCTAAATATTTTAAATAAGGTTTCAATTATTTTATGTTTCCTTAACCTATTTGAGTTGAACGATTTTGTCAAATAAATTATTGAAGATTAGTCAAACCTGATTCAAAGTAACTTACTTGAGTTGAATTATATACTATACTAAAAAAATTAAGTTTTTAATTTTCTCTTTACAATTTCTTTTATATATGTTTCACATTTCTTGAAAATACAATTTAATTCTTCCTACAATTTCAAGCACAGAAGTAAAAAATAAAAACTATTTTTCTTTTGTCAAGGAAAACTATAAAAATTTACCCTAAACTTTGTAAGTTGTATTGATTTTTACCGTAAACGTTCATTCATCCAATTTTACCTTTGACAAGTATTGTAATATTCCATTAAACTTTAAAAAATGTTGTAATTTTTACTAAGAGTGTAACTGCCTGAATCGAACCGACGAATCAAATTGAATCGATTGGAAAATAATGATATATTACAATACTTCTGGGGTATAGTATAATCTCAACAATCCACAACTTTTCTCTCTCTCCCTCAACAAACCCTTGGTTTCTCACTGCTCTCTCGACAAAAATCCATTCTCTCTCTCTCTCAAGGTGGCCAACCTTCCGATCGTGGGTACCGTACGCAAACAAATCCACCGGTCATCTCTCGACAAATCCACCGGTCATCTCTCGACAAATCCACTCCCTCAACAAACTTTCCGATTCTCTCTCAACAAACCACGATGGCCAACCTTCCGACGACATCCAAACAAAACCCACTGGCCGTCTCTTGACAAATCGAAGAAACCCACGACAGCAATTCAAACTTCGAATACCCATTCAACCTTCCGATTGAAGGATTTGGATCTGGAATCTGTTGCAAAATAAGGTGTGCATGTTATATCATCCATTAATTGAAAAAAAATATTTGTTAATTAAACGTTTTTTTGCTGTCATGAAGGTTAAATGGGTGTTACGTCGGAAACCCTAGACTGAAAAAAAGAAAATCCCGAGATGGACCCGACCCGAACGGTAACCGACAACTTTTGGGTTGGCTCATTTTGTCCGAAAATCGACGAATTTACACCCCTAACCTTGACATTTTAAATAAAGTTTTTGTTTGAATAATTATTGAAATATGTATTCTCATGCGTGTCCCATGCAATATAAAATACATATGAAAAAAATTGAATTCGTAACATTTTGTAAAGTTAAATTGATTTCGTGTATTAATCAAAATTAACTTAACTTTTTGTACAAGTTGATTTTCATTTAAATTGATGAGTTTTTGGAGGTTTTTACATTATTTTGTTAATATTTGTTGAAACCAATCACTTCACAAACAGCTAAATAAAAACATCCAAGCTTCAATCAGCAAGCATCAGAACAACCCATTAGTTGAAATAATCACAGAATCATTAATAGGAATAAAACAAGTAAAGAATTAAGATGATAAGAAGACACCCAAAACGATGAGAGTAATCACAATACAGAGGAGTTCCCTCTCATACAACCAGCATCAGTGCATTTAAAGAATCTACCCAAGAGACCCAAAATACAATGAACTAAAAAAAATAGAGCATAAAACTCTTCCTTTCATAACTAATTGGGGCTAGATAACTAACTTGTCAGAAGAATAATCCATACCTTTCTAATCGGATCCATAACCAACTGGATATTACCCAAGATGAGCTGGTGTACCAAAAATATTGAGCTCACTTTATTATAAGTCTCGTAGGATGAACACATCATCAAAGAAGCAGTCAAACACTTAATTAGCTATCAAAGATTAATAAAAATATCAGTGGGAGAAGTCGCAAAAATTAAATATAGGCTAAAAACTTAAAAACATTATCTAGGTTTCGGATCCAATCTAATGAAATTAAAAGTTTATCGTGAAACACAACCTTACGGTTCCATTTTTGTCCTTCTTTTCCCACAAAGGTTGCCACCAAATTTGATCTGGAACAAACTAGAGCGTGTTTCTGAATCCTTAAAGTCATCGTCCTTATTCATCGACGACACTTATGTTGCGTCCTCACAACCGTGATAGATATAAGTGCAAGTGTACACTATATCCGTTGATTGTAGTACGAAATGAGGTCGAATCCACAGGGACTTAGGAAAATATTATAAACTATGCTTGAAGATACTAAAGTTACAAAAACAGTAAAATGTAAATGATTGTGTTGACAGTAAAAGGAAAATATTATAAACAAAGCAATAAGCAGTCCCAACAGTAAACACACTTCATGATGTTGACAACAGAGAGAAGTTCAGAACATAATAGTAAAAATGGGGATAACAGATATGGAAAAAGCGGAGAAGACATACATACTTTCACTGAATCCCAACCTATACCCTAACTCGAAATCTGTTGCTAATGCTCAACTTGACGTGGTTCCCTTCCGAGACATCCAAACATAGATATCAACGACTCTTGTTGCTAAATACACAAGCAATAAACACAAGTTCTAAGCATGATTAAGGGATTCGATTACAACTTCCGTTACTAAATACACAAGCAATAAACACAAGTTCTCTACCGGGCCACAAAACGCCGGAAGGTCACTTGGTGCGGTAGCACCACATTAATCTTCTTGGAAGAACCTGTAAAACAGAGGAAGAACGACTTTGCCGCTTGTCCTGTCTTTACCGACTTCTTTTTTGCGGGTGGGGGCTGACAGGCGCTTGGGGTCTTTTGTTTCTTTGTGGGGCTAGGACTAAGCAAGGCGGAAGAGGGACGCTTACTCTTTCGAGTTCACGAGGCTGAGCCAGAGGTGGAGGTGCTTTTGGGCGCCACTGTGGGTGGATTTCTTCGACTACGACAGGAGAGAAGGAGGTAGAGATGGGGGATGGGTTGGCTGGGTTGGTGGAGAGGGTTGTTTGGGTTAGAGGTGAGGGCGGATTTTTAGGATAGGAGGGCGATTCAGTAGTCGAAGCGGCGAGAGGGTCGGGCGATTTTGTGGAGCTGAGAACTGGACGGTTTTCGATGGGCGGAGGGGGATGTTCTACTTGGGCTTGTGGGAGATTAGGGCTGGGGTCAACGAGACTTACCATCAGGCTAGCAATAGGCGGCTGAGGTGGCGGCATCTCTGCATCAACGGGGGTCTGCTCGAAGCTAGTGGGAAAATGCCGTGCTAGACTTCGTTCGCCCGAAGCCTCAGGTGGCGGAATCGTGTCGCGCGCTTTTATTAATAATTTGGGTTAATTTGTGATTTAATGTGATGACATTTATGTATAAATTGCATGCTTAAGTGAGGAATTGAGTGAAAAAGATGATTACCACGTTCTAAATCCTCAAGTTGTTGATTTTACGCAAGTTCCTGCTTATTTTCCTTATTTTTGGTTTAATTGTGCAGAATTTGGAGAATTTGCTGAGGAGCAGCAGAATGCCAGGATTAGAGGAGAAATGCCGGAGCGTTGTTGTGCTAGAGCATGTCAATGCTGGAGCATCTCTTGCTGCAAAAATCCCTAGGCAGTAGTAACACGTGAGATTTTTACTTTTGTCGGTACAACACGCGTTTTACTGAGTTTTGTCCTAATTTTCGGGAGAGCTATAAAAGCAACAAGATGAGACTGTCTCATTATCAATCCCCAAGGGGGAAAAGATCTCAAGAGAGGAAAATAGTCCTAAAACGTGCTGAAGACAAGGAAAGCTGCCCCCATTTCAAGAAGAACCTGATGRGACGAGCCTGGAACTGTTGGTTTCTCACTGAGCTGGAGGTTTAAGAGGATTTCTGAAAGCTTTTTCACCAAATGGGTTGTTTCTCTCTTTACCCATTGTATTTTCTCCATTTCCCATGAACTAAACCCCATTTTCGGGGAATCCTTTGCTGTAGCTTGTGAAAAGAGGTTTTCTAACATATTTTTGCTGCTGTTAAATAGAGTTGATATAATATTTTCATCTTACTGATCTTTGCTGGCCACATTTATCAGTTTATTTGCTCTTGTATGACTCGGAAGGGTATATAGGTAGCATGTTTGGTTCTCTTTGTGGTTAGTTACTTTTTTCTAGTAAATTTGTGGATGCTTAGGGATAAGGTTCGCCTAACCATACTTATAAAATATTCTTTATTCTTGGGTATTTAGCAACGGAAGTTGTAGATATTCACATTTGTGTATCTTGGAAGGGAACCACGTCGGTTTGAGCATCAGTAGCGATTTTATGCTAGAGCATCTTCTGTGAGCGAGTGAAAACATGTCAGGATCTCCCCGGTTTCCATCTCATTAACTATTTCCCCATTCTGTTCGTTTAGCTACAACATTTCTTTACCCCAGAATCTGTTAATACAATATTTCTCTCTTGGAATTTCTTTTTGTGTTTTATAGTATTTTACTTAGTTTAATTATACAAACACCGATTATCTTTTATTTGCATTTTTTGGTATTCTTAAGTGCATGCTTAAAGTAACATCCTTAGTCCCTGTGGATTTCGACCTTATTTATACTTCAATCGGC